GGTCCCCGCCGCACTCGGGAAAGGAGTGGGGTCACCCCCCAGCCCCGCCCACCTGGCGAGGACCTGGGAAGCAGCGAGGGTCGGTTTGAGGAGGGGTGGGGGGGAGGCCAAAGTAACTAACGCGATCCCGGAGTCCCGCGCGGCCCCACTGCCTTTTCCTTACCTGCCCTCAGCTGCCGGGGCGGCTCACCATCTACCTCACGCCCTCTCTGTGCCCCTGCGGGCAGCCAACCTGCAAAACAGAGGGGCGCAGGGATCACTCCTGCGGCCGGCCCAAGACCCCGGGATTCTTTCTTTCCCCCAACTTCCTTCTCTCTCTCTCTCTCTCTCTCCCTCTCCTTTTCCCGTAGCTTTGTGCGTGTCCCTCCAGGTTTCACTTTATTGCATAAACACTTTTGTTTGCAAAAGCCCCACACGCTTCCAGGACCGGACAGTGCCCAGCCGGGGACCATGCGGAGGGGCCGCCGAGGGGGAGGAGGGGGATGCCAGGGGCAGAGTTGGGGGCGGCCCGCGGCTGCCGCTGCACTCCCCGTGCTAAGCGGAGGCGGTGAGGACCGACCGGGGAAGTCCTGCGGAGTCATTTGGCAAACTAAATAAATCAAGCGATTTACCTTGTCGGAGTGGCTTGTCTTGCTCTGTTGTTTAGGTGATTGGAAATGTAGCCTGATGAAGATTGATCACCTTTCTACTGCCCTCCCCGGGTATGTGAACGCGAGGCGAGTGCGTAATGGGGCAAGGCCGCCAATCGGGGGCCCTGCGCGGGCTGAGTGACAAGGAGCCGGGCAATGGCAGCGCGAGCCGGGGGTTACCTCCGCGCGCCCCCGCCCTCCCCCGCCCCCCACACCCCGCCCTCGCCGCCCGCCCCGCCCCGCCCCGCCCCGGCCGCGCGCTAACTCCGGGGCTCCGCTGGCGAATTCCGCGCAGAGCGAGTTGAGCTGGGCAAAGCCCAGAGCCCTCGGATTTCGAGGCCTGCCTAGGGCCCCCCCTGCCCTTCTCTCGCCCTCTCGGCGCTTCTCTGAGAGTGGCAGAGAGAGGGGGCGAGGTACTGGATAATCGGTTCTCTCTCTCTCTCACCCCCCTCCCTGTCTCGCTATCTCTCTCCCCCCCCCCCTCTCCCGCGCGCGCGCGCGGCTCGGGGCTCCATAGCCAGGGTGTAGGCGCGAGGGTTCGGGGGCGGCGGGCTGGAGGAACGCGGGCCCCTGGCCCCTCTCGCGGCGCCTTGGGCCCCTGTGTCTGCTTCTTCCGAGTCTCCACCTGCCGACCGGCGCCGGGGGCGGCTGCTGCCCGCGCAGACTACTTTTCCGAGCGCGGGAGCAGTTCGGGGCGCGCCGATCCCTGCTCGGCGGCCCGGGAAGAGTGCGCGCCGCGGACGCGCCGCCACTCACCAGCGCCTGGGCGTCTCCAGACGGCCCCGGCCCCTCCGGGGGTCTTCGCACATCTCAAAGTCTTCTTCTGAGCCGTTGGAACCCAGGTCTCTTTCCCCTCACTCGTACAGCTTTCTTCTCAATCGTAGGGTTTTGGGGTAGGAAACTTTATTTTTCACACTTGTTTCCTTCCACGTCTCCACCCAGCAGACACGATCCGCGGGAAAACGGATCCACCGGACCCCCGCCCCCAATCCGGCTCCTCAATCCCCCCCCCCCGCCCCAAACTCCAGAAGCCTGCTGGAAGCGATTTTTCCCGTTTAGTCCGTAACTGGCAAACCCCATGCTCCGTGGAACAAACTTGCCAAACACGTCTACCAGTGTTGGACTTCTCAAAGCTTGGGGGAGAAAAGAAAGGAGAGGAGGAAAAAAAAGAAAAGGTTTTCGACCCAACCCTGAGCCAGACGATTCTTTTCAATGGCACCTCCTACTGAATATTAGGGACCACTTTTCTACCTTTCGAGGAATTCCTACCCCAGCCTTGTCATCGCCCCCACCCCCCACTCCCATAGGTGCAGGAAAAGTTTGAGCCGCCGTGAGCGCGAGGGCGAGTCGGGGCCGCCGGGCGCGCCGCGCGGGCCGCGGGGTCGGCACCGGGCTGACCCGGCGCTCGGGCGGGGGGGTGGGGGGCGCCGAGTGAAAAGGGACTGCGGCCGTCGCTCATCAAAGTGCTTCCCCCTCCCCCAAGCGACACTTTTCCTTTGGAGTCCGAATAAAATACGGTAACAGAATATGATGGAGGGCACACTGTTTCCTTAACTGCTTCTCAAAGGACCCGGGAGATCTTCTTAGGACCTTTAATAAGGCTTTGGTCGGTTCTTTTGTTGATCTCTCAAAATCAACTCCTTCTAATTGAAGTTGGAGCTGAAAGCGAGCTAATGTTCAAAGAAAGTGGCCGCCAGACCAACGAAATTACATTTTTCCCCCTTTTAACGATGAGGGAACATCGAATCAAAGAGGCAGGGAAGGAGGGGTGTGAGTGGGGGGACAGGGAGGAGAAAAGGAGGTTTTACAAGATCCTTCTCTGGTTCACAAAAGTCAGCGACACGGGCGCTTCTCTCTAGAACAAAGACACCGCGGCCCATTCACAAAAGGGAGAGAAAGAGAAAGCAGAAGAAAAGAACGAGAGGAAAGGGAGCGATGGGGGGGGGGGGGACGTTTAAGAGGGAAAGAAGTTCCAGAGCCCCGCGCTGGCCCGGCCGGGGACACACCTTAGGCTTTCGCCGGCCCCCAGCGGGAGAAGTCGGCCCGGCCGCCGGCCAGCCCGGGGGCCCGGAGCCTCGGAGGTCACGGTGCGGTCTAAACGAAATACACTCCCGCCCACGGGTTTCCCGGAAAAAGGTCCGGGGTGGGTCGCACAAGTTTGGCCGGGAAGCGAACGCAGACATCCCGGGGTGCTGGTTGGCGGAGGCCGAGTCTGTAGTGGGCGCTGCCAGGGTCCCGGTCCGCGTCTGATGTGGGCTGGGTTTGGCCCTTAAGAGCCGGGCAAGTGTCCCGGCCCCGTCCCACACAACCTCGTGTCCTCCTGCCTGGCCCGAGCGGTTCCGACGGCAGCGGTGGAAGCCAGGCTGGGGTCCCGCGTGGCGAGGCGAGGCGGGGCGGGCCGTGCGCGCCGGAATGTGGCCGCGCCGTCCCCAAGGCCCCGCCGCCGCCGCCGCCGCCGGCGCGCGGGAGTCCAGCGCGCCCGGGTCCGGACGCGGCCACCAGTCCCCGGGAAGACGGGAGGGATCAAGTAGCACAGACTTCCGCCCCCAATGAGAATATGGATCTAATCCCAACTTGCAGGCGAATTTTCTTAATGCTTAGTTCTTAAAGCCCCGGGATTAAGAGAAGAAAGACAGAGGAGAGGGGAGAGGGAAGAGCGTGGAGAGTGAGCTGAAAGTTTCTTGGACGCGGTGCGGAGGATCGAATCGGCCGTCGCTAGGCAAATGTCCAGGTGGGGGACGCCGGGCCAGAAGCGCTGCGGGCTCCAGCGGCCCGCACCGCGCTGGAGGCGGGGAAGGCAGCCCGCGTAAGGGCCCCGGGCCGGGAGGGGCCGAGACACCCGGGCCTGGAGACCGGGACCTAGCATCTGGTGACCTCAAAGGCCTGGTCAGACTCTAGAGGACACTTGGCACGGGGGTGGGGGTGGGGTGGGGGAGGGATTGGGAATTCAGGCCAAAGGTTCCGGGCGAGGGACCCAAGTTGTTCTCTGGCCGGGCACACGGTGCCCAGTCCAGCTCGCTGCCATCGCTCCAGCTTCCTCTGCAACCCCCAGACCCTGTACAGTCTCTGATCCCATAGCGTGAAGAAGGTTCAGGACTTGGGTTCTTCCGTTTGCAAGGGGCGCGTCCCACTCTTGGGCGGGCACCGGGCCGCGAAGCCCGGGGCCGGCGCCGTGCGCGGGGCCGACCCCGCACAGCAGTCCCCAGGGGCCGCGCTCCGCCGCCGCTGAGGGGCGGTCGGGCGCCGCGGAGCAGCCCGCCGCCAGCGCCGGGAGGGCCAGGCGAGGGCCCGCCGCGGCCCCCAGACACCCTAGCAGACCTCCTAGCAGAGAGGGTTATCGTTTGGTGGATCTGGGGCTGCGTGGGGCCAGGAAAAAGCAGCTTTTTCTCGAGGCCCATCCGAAGGCGTTTCTCAAAAGCAGCGTACACAGGGCGGGTGCTGCGGGCTGCCGCCGGGCCCCGTCGGCTCGAAGGTGAACCGGGGGTGAGGGGTCTCAGTCCTCCCCAGGGAGCCACACCTCGCTCTGCCCGGGCTCGAATACAGAGGGAAAACACCCTGTTTCCTTTAGTTCCGGGAACTTTTCAGTAACTTAAAATTCGTGTCATAAAGGAACTCTTACCAGGGCAAGTGGGTTTTTTTTTTTTTTTTTTTTTGAAAAGGATTGACAATTGGGGAGTGGCAGCAGACTTTTCGGACACGATGTAGGTCTGGGAGGGGAAGACGTCCGAGGCAGGGAGGGAAGAAGGGAGAGAGATTTTCTTAGGCTCAAGCTAAATGCTTTTTTTTTTTTTTTGTCTTAAGTTTCTGGACTTGTTGAAGGAGTTTTCTTTGTTCGGACACCCAGTTAGAGAGTGATGTAAACTGCTATAGGAAAGCCAGTTTTCTTCCCCCCTAGCCTAGAAATTCTAAAAGTTCTCTTTCATTTCTCTTCTACACCCAGGGGTACAGGGGCACACGCCTCCCTGCAGTCCACCTTCCCTAGCAATAACCCTCTTCCTTTCACTTCAGTATCCACAGACTTGCTGGTTAACAGAGGAAACAGTTCTTCCTCATACAACTACAAAAATGGAACTATTCAAAGTCATGTGGAAAATTCATCATACTCGTATTGTTTTCTTTCAGTGGCGTGGAATCAGAATTTTTCTTCAAGTCTTTGAGATGACCCTTCCAAAAGAGAAGATAGTTTATACTTCTTAAGAATATGACTAATTACTTTTCAGTTTGCATCCATGTGTCAGCAGGGCTCCTCTGGGATGTATAAACTTACCCAGCTCTGAATACCATCCAGTATCCTGCCCCGTGTTCCAGAGGACCATTTCCCACATGCAAAGATTTATGGATACACAAACTTCCAGTCTAGTCCAAGCAGTATCAGGTAAGAAAGTTTCTGCTTTTATTGAAAATTTATATATGACTCAGTATTGTAATAAATAAACAGATAACCATTTTCACAAAAAAGACAGTGCTATGCTAGAAAAGAAAATATTAACTGGAAAGATTTACTTGTAGTGGCAAGACAGACTTTTATCAATACAGAATAAATATTAACAGCATTCTTGAGCCAATGTTGAGATACAACAAAATGTAAGAACGAACCAAGATGTAATAAATATTATCCAGAGAAAAAGATGGCAGATTCTCCCATGATAAAACTGTCTTTGTAAACTGCTGCATGTCAGTTCCTCTCATCACCTGCAAATCGCAGGGTTTGTCTCAGGCTACCTTTTAAAGGACCATCTTTGGAGGAAAGCAGAGGAATTCTGTGAAATGCAAAACAGTTGCAGAAAACCTCACTGGTAAATAAACAGAGTTTAATAAGTAGATTGAATATGATCTAACTATGAAATTTAGGTAACAGAGTAAATGTTACAGATGGCAGGAGTGGAAAAAAAATCATGGCATTTTTCTTATCCTGCCTTGCCTCCCTCCCCCCTATACTGTCATTATGCTATTACCAACAACAACAACAACAACAACAGAAATGTCTCAAATTTTCCTCCCATCAAACAATGAGGGGAAATAATGCGGGAAGTGTTTTCTTTTTGAACAGTTTCTTGAACACCTCCAATATCAATTACTCACAAAGTGTCTGTGCAAATCTATCTCACATGATTTCAAAAGAAAGTATTCACTCACAGAAAAAAAAAATCCTTAAACAGAGCTATGTTTGGAGTTCTGTATATTATCTGGAAAGGAGTTAAAGTGGTGATGATGGTACAGAAGTATAATCCAGCCAAATGTAATGTTAACTTTTGAAACAACCAGTCTGTTGCTGGTCTGGGGGCCCAAGACTAAAATGTTGGGAGAGACACTGGTCTGATGGCTACTGAAGAACACATTTCTCTTCTTTCTTGGCCATCTTGCCTTTGTTTTGTTCCAGAGTTCGCTCCAAATGCTCATCTTCTTCTTCTGCCCTGGATGCCAGACAAACGAGAACAAAATTATTTTCTTCATGGAGAGCAGAGCAGCATTCCCCCTGCCCCACATTCCATATCCAGGAGGAGGAATTCGGGGCACCGGGCCTCCGGAGACCTCTAAACCGAACTTCGGGTAAACTTCTCTAGGGGGCCCCTTTGGCAGGTGGCTATGCCTGAATTCAAGGCCCAAGGTCTACTCACTGCTTCTCCTGCGCATCCAGATCTCTCACAAGTGCATCTCGCTTGTTCACCAAAGTCACCAGCTCATCCAGCAGGAGCTGCTCTCGTCGCTTCTGGGCCTCAGTCTTCTGCCAGTCTATAGGAGATGGGAGGCTAGTTAATGGGCTTCAAGGCCTGAGTGCATACCAGCTCCCGGCCCTGCCCTCCCCTTCCCGCCTTTTCCAGTTCCCTTACATCTCCCATTAAACCCAGCTAATAGCTCCACTAGCTAGTATTTCTGGGGAGTTTGGCAGTTGTAGTGAGGTTTTCCCCTAAAACCATACTTTCGAAATATTTCCCACAGATGGAGTGTGGAGAGGCAAGGGGGGAACCGACTATAGAGACCAGGTGTGAGCTGAGGGCCAGTCGGAGGTGCGCACCTGAATCCCGGCCAAGTGGGGGAGGGGAAATGGAGGCCAGAAGAGGTTGGCCCTGGGGTTGGGGTGGGGGAGTGGGTAAACGAGGAGGCGGGAAACAGTGATGGGAGATAAAAATCATTCTGAAAAGGCCCGAGAATCTGCCTAAGAACCTCTTCTCCTCCCCCACCCCCACTCTCACCCCAAACAGCCCATTCTTCACTAATTTCCTCTTCGCTCTATTTTAGCAGTTGGATGTATCTCACACTGGGCGCCATATGCTTCACAATAACTTTAAAAGTAGTGAATCGGCTAATTAGCATTTTTCTTTGAAGTAAAAAATAAATTTGCTCTGCAATATTACACTGCAGCTCTCAATCGCATCACAGCCAGTTTTTATTTGGAGACGTTTGCTGGGTGCTTTCAAATGAAAGCACTTGTGCAAAAGAAAAAAAAAATTACATATTTCTTTGAAACTCCATGTTAAAGGTTGGAAAATCCAATGGGCAGTGCTCTTTGAATGGGTGAGGGTCATTTTATGAAGGTTTCAGTCCCAATAATATATTTCCTAGTCTTTGCTACTCTGATAATTTCCTTAAGATGAGCAGCAGTTTCCTTTAATAAAAACAGGACCAAATCGAACATTTAAAACACTTTTGAAACCAAAGCCAACAGCTCTCTGGCCAGACTGTAAGGGCTTGTAGCTGTCAATCAACCCTCAGTCTACCCCGCCTCCCTCATTAGGAAGGTAAACAATGAAAAGAAGAAGTAGATGATGAGGCAGATAGCAGAACAAATGAGGACCAAGAGGGAAACAGGACACCAGTTTAAAAAAAAAAAAAAAAAAAAAACCACTCTGGGCACTGACTCTTACAGTCCCCTCCCCCACAGAGCAAATGCAGTTTCCAAAAAAACAGAGGAGTGCAATCCTTTCGGGTTTCTCTTCTCTCTCCATTGCCCAGGGCAATCATGTTAAAACTCACATGGCTGGTGCTTATTCAGATAAACCTAACAATGCACACCGCTGGTTACCATGTGAATCTTCACAAACCACACAAGAATGTGCTGGTTCAAATCGCCTCCCTACTCTCTCCAAAGCAAAATTTATTCAAGACAGCAAACTGCTCAGCAGCTTTATGAAAGCAAATGGTGCTAGAGGGAATTCTATCTTGTATTTACAAATTAAAAATTAGATGCATCAACATGCAGTAAAGATTAGAATAACTCTAAGAAGCTAAAATAGCTTATTCAATTTTATCACTGTTCCTTTATTATAAACGCAAACACATAAATACATATATATGAAACTGCCATATGTTAATTATCTACATTTAATACAAAACATCACAAAATAAATGTTAAATCACTGATTGTTATATTGTATTAGAAATAAAATTCTTTATAGCATGGAGAGAAATAAACTATAAAAAGTATTTTCTGGTAAAAGAATTTTAATAATAGGCAAAAAAGAAACGAAGAAGCCAAATCTATCATAATTTTACTTTGGTTTTAAATGCAACTAAGAACAGGAATGCTGGAAATTTAATAATTTGGTTCTTGTTCTTAAAATCAGCCATATTCTACAGAGAAAGTAAATTAATAGATTCTCCAGGTTGGGAAAATCTTTAAGCTCATTTAGTCTAATTTCAGGTAATTGTTCTAGAAATACTAATTCAAGAAAAAAAGCTCTGCTGAGTTAATAAAAAATAGCAAGTAAAATTTAAATTACCAGCTTTGGTTAACATTGCTCAATATTCAACTTGGCGGAATCATTCTGATTATAAGCTTAAATGTATACTTTTTGGTTTCCAAAACATTTGATAAATTCATGAGTAGAAAATAATTTTTCTTTACCACACTCCAAAAATACAAATAGAAATATTTAAGCCACGAAAAAAAATGAACATGGGAAACATAATTTTTTAAATTGAACTAGTCCTCTAAACCTGACCAGTCACTTTTAAGGCCTTAATTAGTAACTTAAAAATACCAGGTTTTTCTTAGCATTGGAAAAATTAGGATTTTAACTATATAAGTGAGGAAACATTTTTAAGCTGAGGTATTAAAAATAATTTTTAAATAAAAATCTCAACTTTTTCCTATCTTGATAAGGTCATTCTCATAACTAGAAAAAGAACATTTTAAAACTAAAGACATTTAGGTCTAATTGAACTGCTAACACATTACAATATTCTAGCATAAACTTATTGGATTTTTCCTATTAAGTATCTCATTACTACATTAATATAACTATATAGTCTGTTGCAGAGCACATATCGGTGTGAATAGATTTTATAGTAGCAAACTATACTTTTATATTTGGTTTCTCATAGGCAAATATATGTATATGCACAAATACCCTCATCCACTCATCTATTCCTATTATGTATAACTGAACACTAATTTGAGAAATTAAGTAGACTACTACTTTGATCACCAAAAATTATATTGACAATTGATCAAGATTTGCACCTGTGTTTAAGTAAAAAATTTTAAAATCCCCTTTGAAAAAAAAGTGCTTTTAAAATGCCTTTACCTATATACATGCCATGTTTTAAAAGTCTGCGTGTAAGTTTACATGTTACTTGTTATGTGTTTTAAGAAAGGATTAGTCACTTACTTATAACACCAGTCACAGCTAGCTAGATGCTCTCACTGGCTTGGACAGACTAGTGTGGGTTGTGATTAACTTAGATTCCAGTGTACTTTCACTACAAAAGCCATATCCTCTCACAACAAATAGGATTAAGTTTTGATGCTGCATTTGACCCAAAGTGTTGAAATAAAGAGATTTTGTTTATGTCCATCTGTACTGAGATGTTTGGGTTAATTCAAAATAGTTTTTTTATATGTAGGGAAAATTATTCATTCCATGAGTCAGTTTATTTGCTGAAGTTGGTAATTACCTTGGGAAAAAAAAGGCAAGAGAAATACCATAAACACTGTAATAGAAAAGACCTGAAGTTCTTGTAGTAAACCTTCAACCTTGCCACCATAAGTAAGCCTAGCACTTTGATGAAAATTAACACTAGTTTTGTAAAGAGCACATTGGGGGATTGCAGTCAAGTCTTATCTTTAGTTCCAGTCAACTAGCAATCCTGAAAGAGTTTGCATCATCATCAGAACAGGCCATTTGATAGGATTCTACTGCTGTACCTAATCAATCTATGGAAGACTGTGGCTGTGCTGTGTAACAAAGCTAAAATAGATTTACAAATGGGGTTTTAGGGGATAAGCTCCTCCACAGGATTACATATTGATTTTAAATATAAAAAGCTTATCATATAAACCATAACTACAAAAATAGTGAACCTATGCATAAATCCCTTTAGAAGAGCACCCACTTCAAACTCTAAGCCAAGAATAAATCAAGATGTACAAAATCCCAGAGAAGATCCATTTCTTGTGCAGAAAATGAACATACCACTTTCTAAAAGCCCACCCCAATGTGTGCAGAAATGAATTTATCTTTCCTGAGGGAGCATTAAGTAATCTGGAACAACAACAACAACAAAAAACTATAGGAAAAGTATCTAAAAGATGTTTGTTAGCTTGAGGGACCCTACAACTTAGCTCAGTAGAGTGAAACTCCTGCTATGAATACACCTCAGGAAAAAAGGTGGAAAAAACAGGTCAAAGTGACTATGGATTCTCAGAAGAATGGATGTATTGAATATTTAGTATGTTTTGCTCTCAGTCCAAGCTGTTAATATTTCTTTCAGTGTGCTATGGCTATTAATACTCTATGCTTTTCTCCTGATCAATAGTTTTAACAGCAGATTTACTTAAAAAGATTTTAGTTTATTACTGAATCTTAAAATTACCAAGCAGAAGAGATTGGAAAAGAAGAATGAACTTTAAAACAAAGGAAAGCCAAACAAAATCAACTTGTGTTGCCTATTCGTGTGTGTGTGTGTGTGTGTGTGTGTGTGTGTGTGTGTGTGTGTGTGTGTGTGTGTGTGTGTGTGTGTGTGTGTGTGTGTGTGTGTGTGTGTGTGTGTGGTATTTTAAGCCCGTGTGTCCATTCCAAGAGCTGAACTTCACAATGCTCAGCATCTCTCTTGGCTAGCTTTGCCTATGTCCTGCCCAAGCCAGTGGGACAAGCCTCTCTGGAAGATAGTGTCTTTCTTTGTAATCAACAGGCTGTTCTGTTTCTTCAAGTCTCCCCTTTCTCTAAATGAAATCCAGCAGTAAGATTGGAGGCACTGTCACACACAGGACAATGTAATTTACAATGAAGGAGAAGAAGGGAAAGGAAGAGGGACATGGAGTAAAAGGAAGTGGAAGAGGAAGGAGAAGGGGGTGTGGGGGAAGGATGGACTATGGAGAGAAAATATTGACAAAATGATTAATAACTGCATTAAAAGTATTTTTAAAATATGACTATTACTCCTCTATGTATACAAATGCCATGCATGATTTCAAAATGGTACATTATTTAACATGGAAGCTTATTTAAGATTGTAAACTTGTATGTATGCAGGGATAGGATGACCAATAAAACTGTTATCTTTTATATGAGTGAGGCCTTACTTTTATGATGTATTTGGTAATAATAATACTGGTGTGAGGGATAGAGCAACATGTAATATCTACCTTAAAAAGCAGCTATACTGTATCAAGTTGTATTTTAAGGACAATTTATTTTTCTACAAACAGGAGAAGAGGAGTAATTTTTTTAAAGAATACTTAATTTCCAGTGTAATGTACAATGAATCTATTAAGAATATACTATTTGATAAGCTATTTTTAATGCTAAATATATACACTATATATCATACACCATATTTGCATATACATAGTGTTTTCTGTATGTACTTTTCAACCTTTTAGTGTTTCACTTGCTTAAACATTATACTATGATCACAAACATTACATCCAGAGGGAAAAAACCCATTAATGTATTTGTACATTTTCTTTTAATGGCAGTTTCACAAAACTTCTTAAATAATTCTGACAAACATTCAGATAGCCATTTGAAGGAAACTGGCTAACTGGAGGCTTTTAAAATAAAATAAATCGAGTTTCTAAAGATAGATATACAAATGTTACCAGTGGTATTTATCAAATGAGATTATGGATATAAAAGTAGCTAAAAATAAAACTAACACAAATAGGACAAATATATATGTATATATAGGATAAATAAGACACATTATATTTAATAGCAATAGTATATTAAAATATTTTAAAAATATAATACTTCACTTGGCTTTCTTTTACAAACTAAGATTTCTAGTTTCTGAACTAATTAGAATCGACTTATTATGGATCAGGTATCTTATCAGGTGAAGAATGAAATTACCATGGACAGTCAATGGGTTAAGAGGTCAATATAGAATAGGAAAATCAATTTGCATTGATTAGACAAAAGATCCATTTTACAGAGCCCAAAGGATTAGCTTTTAGGCAGAACTCTTTGAACTAGAAATATTTTCCAGTGAAAAATATAAAGAGAAGAGTATTATGTAACACCTATGAATTTTATAAAAAAATCATATGTAGTAAATGGTACAGTTACGTTAACTGATGTTTACTGATATTTTAAACCATGCATAACATTTCTATGCAATTCATTTCTATGAATTATAAATTGTATCAAAATATTTCATTTCCCCCCCTCATGTTCATCTTTGCCTACCTACCACTTAAAAGGAGTTTGAGTCTTAATAGCTACAACAGTCTGGAGAGTGACACATACCAAAGTTGACAACAATGATATGATAAAATTTAGAGTCTAAAGATGAAAAATCAAAATGAACATTTTCTTAAACCTTCCCAATAGGAAATAATTTTAAATTGCAAATGAAACCAAAGCAGTTAACTCTTTATATGCTTATTTTATGTAAATTTAGTCTTGTTCAATCAAAAGTTAAGGTAATTCTGCATAGTAGCAAACATAATGATTATTATCTATCTGAATTAGGATCCTTAGATTTATGATACTGCTTTCTGCGTCCAAGGCAATTATTTGTAATTCCTGTAGATACCTCATAGACCAGAGGTGGTAAAAACCAGATGTGTGTTACACTCTAAATATCACATTGAGAACAGATACTCACATACCTCTCCTCATCACTGCATTTCTTACCTTCAATGGCTAGCATTGCCCGCAATTCCCGGTTCAGCAGCTCGTACCTTCGTTCTAAATCATGTTCTTTTTCCCTAGGCAAGTTGCAAAAGTTCATCAATATGCTAATTACTAAATCATTAAACACTTAAAAGAACCTTTAGGTTACATTGATTTTAGGACTCGGAACTGACTTTTCTCTTTAACTTTAAGCCACTCCAAACAAACGATATACAAACTCAAATCCTTTCTCAGCTGAATATTTACAAGTGTGCTTATTTTCTTCCCTCAATTTTGAATGGCACAAAGGTATATTTTAATCTGGGCATTAATAGTTTTATTCTTCAGTGGTGCATGTATTAAGTGCCAGGTATAAGGTCATTTTTGAAAACACTTTTCATAGTTTACAATAAATACTTTTTAAAAATTCAAAATCCCATGTGAAAAAGAATATAAGAAATACAAAATGCCAGTGCAAATTTAATATAGAGAAAAATAAAAAGTTCTGGACAAGTTTTGTGTTTCACTAAATTTTTGTTAGGTAGAAGTTATAAAATTAACAGTTTTTTTTTTTTTCCTTTAACCAAAATAAAACATAGTAAGCTTGCCATTTCCCACACTAGGTGGCATACTATAAGAACATTGCTGGTAAGCAGAAAGGAACAAGCATTAAGTCTTTTGCTGAAGTGAAGTTAAAGACTAAGAATGTTTACATATGGCCTAGTTTCCACTTTAATTTTTACAATCATCAAAAGATCACTTCAATTAATTTCTTATCTTTCTTAGATTAATATTGCTGACATATGATAAATGCATTTTTGTCCTTATAAAGATTGTTTTCTTACACAAAAACAGTTCCAATTCCTTTACTTTCTGCATCATAAACACTTTTTTTCTCCAGTGTCTATTCTTCTCCTTATCTGAATGGATAAAAATTTGCTATTTTTTAAAAATACAAAATACTATAATCTCTAAGGAAACAAACAATTAACTCTAATAAATATGAAACCCCAAAGCAAGCAATAACAACACAAACCTAAGATTTATCAGTAGAAATATAGTTATGAGTACTTACAGAAGAGACAGCTGGTTCATTCTTCTTATTAGGGCATTTTTTTTATTAACTAACATAAACCATTCTTGCATCATAGCTTCTTCTTCTTCCGTATTCCTTCCTATAGTTCAGGAAGAGTAACTTCTTATTACATGACATTTTACAAGCCAAATAATCACTTAGCACAATTCTTTTAAGATGAAAAATATTTTAGCTACTTCAGTACTACATAGTTCACTACTTATACTGTAAGACTGAAGTTCAAGGTCTGGAAGAATTCAGTATTTAAAAACATAGAACTCAATCTTTTAAAGCTGGTGCTATTCAGCATATATATCTTAGTTCCTTGAACATTCCAATAGATCATATTAACACTAAGTACTGTAAACAAAGTGTTCCACCTTATAAATCCTCCCCAGAGGCTGACTTGCTATTATGTTTCAATGAAGAATTCACAGTGCTGACAGACATACAATCATGATTTAAAAAAATCCCTAAAACATTAAAAAAAATCATTACAAGAACCATAAAACTAGGAAGAGATCAGAAGACTGGATGAAAGCTTCCACTCATAACAATTTACTTTTTAAAAATTTTCCTACTGTAAAGTAAAATAAGATTTATATATTCATATATATAAATAAAAGGCATATATATATATATATATATATATATATGAAAGATATGTACACACACACACACACACACACACACACACACACACACACACACACACACACCATTCTGGAACTCATCAACCAATAAGGTAACCATTTCCACATTATTAAATGAATGTAAATGGCCATGCTACTAAAATGCCTCTTTGTAAAATAAAATACATTATAATGAATATAGTATTCAGAAAACATTTGATTAAAGAAATAATCTAATATTTTCGATTATGCAGTTACTGATTACATACTGGAGATATTCGAAGTTCACTAATAGTCATACCCATTCCATCACTAAATCAGTCCGCCCTTCCCCATCAAAGGCTAGTACATTTACCATTAAAATACAATATAACATATACTTGGAATTCTTCATGCAAAAGTAGACCACAATTTACTTTTTAAAATTGTACTCTTCTAAATTATACTAGTCAAAATGATAACTGTTTAAATTTTCCCCCTGGATTTCATTCATGACTGTATTGCTTTGCTAGGCCAATATTTAATATTACCAGTTCAAGTTCTGCATAACATTCATAAGATTAAGAATTTACTGGGGAAAAACAAAGGAGGGGATAACAAGAGGAAATGCTTGAGAGGAAATGTACTCAATACCTTACTCATGTAACTGTAACACCTCTGTACAGTATCTTTACAATAAAAAAAATTAAAAAATTAATGTATTAAATATCCCAGCTATATATAGCATTATTATCCTGTTTTATTTTCTTTTTAATACTTTAAATAATAATACAGAATAAAAGAATAATACAGAGGTATAACAGTAAAAAAAAAAATCAAGTCTTATTTCACTAACCCTACCGTCTTTACTTCCCTACCCCAGATCCCATTTCTAGGATTAAGTACTATTACACTTTAGCATATCTCCTTCCAATCACATAGATATGTCTATCAAACACATGTATATATCATATCTATACACAATTACAAGTTTCTTTAACACCACTGAGCTGATTTACATTGGCCTATGATTTATTTTCTCAATATCAACTTCATTCTTTTCAATGCTTGCATCAACCGTGGGCATGCCATAGTAAAACTATTTCTGCATTAATAGAAATTGGAAGAAATTTTAAAAATAGAATAGAATACAAAAAGCTGGTCTGTGTACAGAAGAAAAATCATGAATTTCTAAATATCCCTATAAAACAATCATCTGTTGTTTATCATTAGGGAGAATAGTGAAGATATGTGCTTTCATTAAATTCTGTTAAAACTGAGTGGTATGAAGCCGACTTAAGATAGATTCTTTTAGAGCCTGAACAAAAGTCTTTATTGTTTTACAGTATTCTTAATCTCTCCTTTAGGGTAGCTGGTTTTGTATTCACTTTGGACCATGTGATGTCTTGACACTGGTCATGTGATACAGGCTGCGATAGGCACAAATCCCTGGGTAGTAACAAAAGAAGAAAGAGTAAAAAGAAAAAGCTGAGAAAAAGCTTGCAATTTGGAAAAAGGCCAATTGTACCCCGTGAAAGCTTTTTGATCAGTGAAATGACACATGTGGGCAATATTAATAGGTGTAGATTTTATGATATTTTTGATCAGTGAAATGACACATGTGGGCAATATTAATAGGTGTAGATTTTATGATATTTTATTTTCTGATTAAAGATCTGATTCTTGTATTCATAGCCTAAATAGGTTCTAAAATATAGACATATTAAAACTTTGTTTTGATTTTAACTTAACCTATAATTGAGGCTTTCAAGCAATAGTAGGAGCAACCAGCCTACTCTTAAATTAGCATTACTTTCTTCAATGGAACACTGCTTCCTTGAGTATAATAATATTGATGTGGTACTGTGTTATTTTCAGTTTAACTCATGCCTATGATTTCTAGGTAAGAAACAAAGATACCCCTTTTCCCTTATTGTTAGGAAATGGCTAATAATAAAAGAGTATCATGTTTCAAAGGGAAGTAAACCTAACAATAAATATTTAAGGACACATACATTGCTATATAGATTATTTAAATTAAACCACAAATCAATCCTGTATTACAAAAGCCTATCAGAGATAATAATATATAATGATGGAAATGTATACTTAGTCTATAGTAATAAAAAAATTAAAGTTTCTTCTTGGGCATCATTACACTATTGTTTTTAGAGATTTAAAAATTTTTTAAATTTAAAAGGCTTTTAAAAGCCAGTAAGCTGAACCATTACAAATTAATCCTGACTTTAATAACTGGTTAAAGACCCCTTTAGCTTTATAAGTAACAAAAAATATTAAAGCCTGTGATCACAGTGAGCTTTTCTCATTTCTCCTCTAACCATTTGTTATTTAATCCAATACTAGTAATCCAATTTGTCCATCAGACTTTTAAAGGGCAGAATGCAACTTCCTCAGCTTAGACACTTTTCAAAGTACAATATATTTTTCAAATGAATGCTGGATGTTTCATTTTTCCCAACTGTTCGTAGCTCTAATGCAGGAGGAAAAAAAGAACAAGATGAACATTGTTCATACTGATTAAGTAAGAGCTCATTAAAGAGCTGTCAGTGCAGCACTTTGAATATGCATGAAGCATATAATCAGATCTAGTACCGTCACTAGAAGAGAATACGGTAAGTACAAAGGATTGATTTAATTACTTAGAGTGGGCTGTGGTGGTAAAGCAGTCTTGTTAGTGAAAAAAGAAAAAGAGGTTGTATTCTGGCAGTTATAAAAAAGGCAGTTTTAGCTTCTGCCACAATACTTAATCTCAGAATAAAGCACTTTACATTGTAGCTTAAAAATGAAGACTGTCATTATATTATAAAATGGCCATAAATCATTTAATCTTGTTTAACCATACCTGGTTAACTACTTCTCTTTCAAAATGATCTTTAATTTGTAATTACAACCACACTTTTACACCTGAGAGCCAAGTGACACTTTTTAATTTGTTTAGTTTTTAGAATTTATTTTTATTGTCTTTAAATAATTGTAAAAGGAGTTTCAATTCAACATGTCAATTTATGAGTACAATGCATCTTGAGCAGTTTCACTTCTTCCATCATTTTCCTTCCTCTCAAATTTTTATCAGTTTCATCATCTGAAAAACTCAAGATACTTAGTATAAAAAATGCCTAAAAAATGAAGTCACGTATACAGTTACTAAAACGTGACAGCATGACTGGGATATTTCTTTATATATTAAAGCAATACCTCATGCATTTATAAATATATTACCAATAAAAACATCATACTCAATAGACACTATGTTGAAAATGAACTATACAACTTGTGAGGGAGTGGGGTTGGGAGAAAACAAAGGAAGAGGTGACACTGTCCAGAAAGAAATTACTCATTATCTGACTCATGAAACTGTAACCCCTCTGTATATCACCTTTACAATAAAATTTTTATAAAAAGCATCATAAAAACTGAGTTTTTCACCTTAACATTATGACAATCTGATTATAAATGTGTTTACTTAAAGACTTGTGGTTTTAAAAATAAACTGCAATTTTATTTTTTTATTTTGGTGCTGGTCCTAGGACTTAAACTCAAGGTCTAGGAGCTATCCTTTAGCATTTTTTTTTTTCCCTCAAAGTTAGTGCTCTACCACTTAAGCTGACGCTCCACTTCCAGTTTTTTTGTTGGATAATTAGAGGTAAGAGTCTCAAGCTTGCTCAGGCTGCCTTCAAACTGATTGTCAGATCTCAACCTCCTGAGTTTTTAGGATTACAGGCATATGTAATGGACACCCAGATATCACACTGTCTTAATGTCAATTTTTTTCTCTTAATCAATTATTCTAGCTGGAGTACGATTTGTAAAATTATTAAGCAATCAAGAATAGTATAGAATTTAGTTACCTCTCACAGGTACCAAAACTAACAGAATGCATCATATAATGCACAGTACTATGTGTAGTATAAACATTTACCTAAATGTCAGTTGACTACAAGAACTGCTTTTATTTACAACCAAAAACCAAAAGAAAATGATTTAGTTACAATTTCTTTTAGGAATTCATTTATATACTCAAGAATTTCTATGTGGTTTCATTTAGTATTCAGCTATGGGAATACACACAAATGAATTAAAGATTAAAGTGATGCCCAAATTCTGAAACTGTTTTTTTTTTTTTTTGTCAGTGGCGGGGCCTGAACTCTGGGCCTGGGTGCTGTCCTTCAGCTCTACCACTTGAGCCACAGCGCCACTTCCAGTTTTTTCTGCTTATGTGCTGCTGAGGAATCAAACCCAGGGCCTCATATATGCAAGGCAAGCACTCTACCACTGAGCCACCTTCCCAGCTGAAACTGGTTTTTATAAATTTTTTGTAATGCTAGGGATAGAACCAGGGCTTTGTGAGTGCTAAGCAAGCTCTCCATGACTAAGGTATGTCATAAGTCACACATCAATATTTAAAAAAAAGAATACATGGCACAAGGTTGCACCTATGACTTTTCATAGCTACCAACCTCAAAGGCAT